ATTAAGCAATGGCAGTTTGCATATGTGCTGGTATGCAGGCGGTTTTATTTAGTTCTCATGACATCGTGAGGCCAACACTTGGTGTCTACACTCCATCACTTGCCTTCCGTCTTCTCTATGTGTGTGCGTGTGTGGGTGTGTGCTTCCGCCTTCATGTGCCTTGCAGACTTGTCTTTGTGCATTCAGGCACCCTCTTTAGTCACTCCACCTAATGGTTAACTCGCCACATCGCCGGCGCACTTATTTTCCCGGTCATTTTTTGGCAGCAAATACAGAGAGACATCTCATTTCTTCTGTTGCCGTTCATTGCACTCAAGTTCCCATTGCGAATTAACATCCCGTAGTAAACTCACTCTTTAAACTTTTAAGGAAGGCCGTTTCTCAAAAGAATTAAAGGCACCGCTCATTGGGTTAGTCAAGCCTTTTCGTGGTCAGAGCTGGTTTGTAAGAGCAGATGCCATAGATTCCATCGGCCTCCCAATCACGCAAGCAATGAGTTATGCGTGTATGACCTAGGAGTCAGTAGTGGAGACCTCCAAAGACTGCACATGATCCAGGTGTGCGCAATCACAGTAACTAATGCATGGCGCACTGACGGAACACCCATTCAGTCAATAGGAAGTAAATAATGGTAGACTTTTTAAAAAGTCAGAGATCACCCCACAAAAGTAGAGGTCTTGCTTAAAAGTGAACAGGAAATTCTTCTTTCTGTAGCATTTACTTACGCCCGTTTTTAGGATCAGCTTGTAGTCCTTTCGTTGCACCCTATCGCCCGCCATCTTGGTGTACAAGACAGGCTCACGCCCATTGTTTTGTTCATGACGCTAGCTGATGTAAAGTCTACCAGGGATGACGGCGCCAGGAAAGCGTCAGGTAGCGTATCTACCAGCAGACAGCAGTGTTGACTTGGTGGATTCTTGGTGTACCACAAATGCAACTGGCTCCAATTTCGCTTTCCAATATGTCCGCGATTATCCTAACCATCAATCAGTCGCCAGTAGACGTTAGTAGTGGTTGTAAATGCTATAGACACTTTCATTTGTGGCCTCAGAATCGTGCAAGGCATACGAGAGGCAACTGGCCAAAAATGTTCCTTTTTATTGGGTAAGAAATTCTTTGTTAGTCGACCACATTAAGCTTTACCTTTTACCGCTGTGAATGCTGAGGGAATGAAGTGGGAACTTCTCGTTTTTGGTCTAGAAGGAAGTAGATTTTTCTTCGTTTGGGGATCAGTTTACTACGGCTATGTAAATTTACTCACGCCGTTTGTGATAAGCACGATAAGAGATTTATTGTTGGGCTGTTGCAAACGAAATGAGACAAGTTGATTTACAAGGTGTCTGGGACTTAGTAGCGGAAAAGTCACCATCTAATGCCCTAGGAACTTGCATTGTTTGGAAAGGAATTCGCAATGCAAAAATACGCCTTAACTCCCTCCTATCTTTTCATAAAGTCAAACAAGTCCACAAAATAGGTGGAGATTTACATGATTTAGTGTAATTACCCGAATGTTTTCGAGTTCTCAAGTCATTCCAATTCATTCTACCCATGCGTCGCCCATTGTGCCTAGATGGTGATGTGAGTGCCTGCAGTTCGAGGGTCCCTGTTAAGCATCTTCTCTCAAGCTGTGGTGATATGACATACTTAAATCACTTTTATCGTGCGTCTGTTTTCCTGACTTGTTTCATGCAAAACGAGCGATTTGCATTGCCTCCATTAAACTCAGTCCAGGCAACCAACGTCAAAGTCATAATTAGGTGACTTTATTGGAGTCCAGAAAGACGTGGATAAGGGCTTAGTAGCATGGATTTGTCAGTTCATCAAATTGTCGAATTCCATCCTACCCACCTCTTGACCAAAACGTCTACTGAACCACCTTGAGTTTTCCTTTCTGGAACTTTTCAAAATAAAGTGCTTATTGGACTCCACTGACAGACTGAAAATGCTTACATTGTCTCTATTTAGTCGGAACGATGATTAGTTTTTCTTTCCTTGATTTATCTCCAGCTATCGTCAACAGAGCCCTGTGGATCAGTTTAAAGGGCTCTCGAGTCATGGTACAAATGTCTGCAGGCAATCCGCAATCCAACCAGCCATTAATGAACAAGATATTCCGCACCTACTTCTTCCCACAACTGCCACTCAGACAACGTGATAACGCAGTCGGTGAAGAGGTGGACCAATTCTCCTGGCACCACTACTCTATCAGTGTCACCTTCGATCCTGAGACTGCAGACATCAGCGCCAGCACTCTCATGGTGGATGGAGAGTTAGTAGGCACCCTGGAGGCCTTTGGGGAGCCAATTTATGTCACTCGTCAGACCAAAGAATTTTTCCCACAATTGTGAGTTCTCCTGCTTTGGATGGGTTGGTTCAAGGTTAGCACTTGGATCAAATGGTGGGCTAGTAAGATCAGAAAGTACTAGAAGCGGCTTGAAAGTTAGTTTTTCACTTTTTGCATATTTTAGTCCCATCGGTTTGTTTAAACGGAAGCAGGCTTTATGCGAAGGCTTTACATAAAGCTAAGCAAAGCGCAAGTTTTACATTTCTGTTTACTTGATAATAAACTGTAGCTGAAACTTTAGGCGGAACAGATGACAACTGTTTCCTTCAGTTCATTCGCATGTTTTTTTTCTGATTGCTTCTGGTTTCTAATTTAAGGAACTGGTAAATTTTTCCAACTCCTAGCGAAATCCTAGAAGCTTTGCATGGTTTCACTTTTACCTGATTTGCTTGAATTTTTGTGGTTTGTTCTTTCCGTTGTTGCTATTTTCGGGAGGGTTCTGACACGATTGCTTGGTGTTAGAACCAACAGCGTCGACTTATCAAGAGTCACAATGGGGGGTAAAAGTCAGAAGAGGATGTGTCCTTTTGAGTGAAGTACGATAGAGCCGATTGTCCCACCTGTATCAACCTGAACATTGTGATTTTATCAAACTTTTCTCAGGAAAATTTTCTACTGTCATGATATTTATTTGATAGAGCAATCTGGGCAAGGATGTGCCATCTCCTTATTCATCCCTCTTTCCTCTGTCTTCATATCCTTGGACATGCCTTGATGAGCAGCGAAAGATAAAGGGTCTTAAGCATGTCAAGGGTAGGTTGCCTTTTCCTGGAGGCTGATGGTGTCACCCTTGTCACGAGGTTCATGTTTACTGACTGCCTCTCGCCTTAAAGGTGCATTCAAAGACATATTTTGCAACGCTGTGCTGTTGAAAGCAGCAATCCCAAAGGCATGCAAAACGTATATGGATGTAAACTGACCCAGAAAACGAAGTGGATGTTTTGTCTTTGCACTATGTTGGCCACAATTTGATCGTCCCGAAGTCAGGTTTGGAAACACAGTGGCAGTAAAGAACAATACACTCCCTTCATTAACTTTTAATGAGCATATTGCTTAAGTGGGACCAACAAAAACACTTACTCAGAGTACAATGCTTTGCCTTTTGAAAGATGCTTCTCACCAGTTTTCCACCTTCAATAGTGTAAGCCTCTTTGGACCATGGTTAGAGGAATGAGCCAGATGTAGAAAAAGGCGGTACTGAACTTTGGCTCTCCAGATTGCCGTGACGCCTCTGTCTTCTCCTAGTGATTTTGCTTACCTCAAAAGATGCAAATAAAGATGTGTATTCACACCACAGTCAGTTCTATTATTCCTGAATGCAAGAATTATATTGGAACTGATTAACAAGGGCATCAAAAGGGGAATCTTACTGGGTTTTAGCATCACTGTGGGTACCTGTTATGATCCGAGCATTCCAGCGGCACAGCAATCCCTCAACGGAGCTCTCGCGGGTATGACCCTCCTTCTTGGTCGTAACGAGGATCAGAGCGTCTCCCGGTGCCTTGCGGAGTGTGGAGAAACACTTCTCATTCCAAGAGCAAGCAGAGTAGGTCCCCTACCTCCCTACTATCCTCAATCCCTTCTTTGTCTTTCGAAGTGTTGCATGAATCCTGACATATTAATTACTCTTGACTTGGAGTGTGTGACTTGATCAAAATCTAACAAACATGCTCTCCTTATAGACCGCATTGGCGAAAATAAGCCCAACTGAATTGCACACTTGGCATACCTTTTTAAACAGTCGACTTTTGTTAGGCAAGAAATACCTGAAAAGGCGCCTTGCTGGTTACAATATCCAATTGCTAAGCAAAATGTCAATGTCAACTTTCATCATCACATGCCTTACATCGCCACTAAGTCCATTCTGTTGTTTTGGAAAATTTCTTCGAGCAACTCCACTAGCGAGTAAATCTGAACTTAATCAGAGTTCTGCACCCGACATGTTGGAAATCGACTGACTCTAATTTTAAGTGTTATAAGATGAGCAGTTTTGACAGCTTCTTTGAGGTTTATAGGGATTCAAAAAATTGAGTCTGTGAAAAATGAGTTCCTAAAGTAGTTGATTTCTAGTCTCTCACACTAGTTCTTTGGTTAACATCTTAAAGATTATTGTAGATTTGAAAAAAAAACCCAATTACCTTTGGACAAAGTGGAAGAAAGGGTGCTGTCTTATGTTGCGTTGAGGAGAATTTTCTGCTCATGATTTTGCAATCGCTGCATCCATCTTACGCACCTCAGGGATGCTCGTTCTCTGATTTTTTTTCACCATATTTTCCCAGCCGAGGATAATATTTTGAGCCACTTGGCTGTCAGACATCTGCACACCGTTGCGCAAATCATTTAGCAGCTTTCATCCCCTTTGTTCTGCATTGGCAGGAATTGGTGAGTCGGAATTTCACATTCGAGGTGACTCGTGTTGGCATCGTGCGCATAAGCACGACACTGGAAGTGTCTCATATCGTCTTGTAGGCCGTCGCTACGTCATTTGGATCAGTGCTGAACGTGCTCTCTGCCTCACCCATTCATGATGTTCATTTTCAGCTTAGCCAAGTGATTGCCACATGAAATGCGTGACGACTCTAACGCCTCCAAAAGCAGCATTTAACTGTGGAACCAAATTCCTTTAAGTCATTGTAAAAAGAACTCTGAGAAAATATCAGAATGGCCATTTTTAAACTCTTTAAAACACCAAACATGGAGCTTCTGGCAAATGCAAAGAACCGTTTAAAGTTCGTGTCACACCTATTTGCCATTTTTTTGCCAAACTAATAAAGTGTGTCTTGATATCCACTTTGAAGTTGTGCATTTATTCCGAATGGAACCGTTTGTGGTGTAGCTTCCTGAGAAGACGTGATCCTTGAGCAAAGTACAAACATCAAGCGTATACACGGAAGTGCAGCCACCCCCATGACCCAGAGATCTCCAACCCGACAAAAGTACAGTAGCTAGGACACGGAAGGGTTCTTTATTTGATTCTATTGTTACAAGGTTCACTTTAAGCCAACAAACCATTCACATTCCTCTCCTTCACCTTTAACACCGTGCTGCAGTGACTATAACTTATTCTTAGGTGAATACCTTTCTGTTTCGGGTAGACGTTCCAGTGAAATAACTTTTCATTGACCGTCAAAATTCTTTTGTTGGATGCACTGATCGTTTTTCAGTGCAATAGGACATTTCATTCCCTCCAATCGCCTAAATTTGTCACAAAAAAGCAGTTTTGTGGCCATGCGCAAGATGGGTTGTGATTTGAAGAGGGCGAAAATGAACCACAATCGCCCAGTAAGAAGGGTTTGAAAGGTTGACCCTTGAATTTGCTGTTAATTGGAACCAAATGTTACACCTCAAATGGCACAACATCACCAGCGGTACTATGTGATGAGAGTAATTAACCTTTTGAAGGCTTTCAGAGGTCAAGGTGCCATTTCAGTTGCTCTAGCCCCTTGGGGTCTTACGCCGTGACCCTTTTCATAGGTAGTCATTTTGGGAAAAAATCCGTTTTTTTATATGCTTCAAATTTTTGCCCCAGACTTCATGCCTAACGGAAGCAGTATGAAAAGTAAACTTTGGTTATAATTTCAACAGACTAGTGACAAACATTGTGAAGTTGGCGCTACTTAAGTGCCAAAACTTCCTGAGGAGAAAATAGGACATATCTCAGACAGATGAGGACATGGAGAAGAACTTTGGGTTACTCGTACGTTCTCAAGGTCGGTCCACCCGTAGGCGGTACAATAGAGGAGTCTCTGTATAGTTCCGCCATTTTGGAGCTCTCCAGTTTAGCCATTTCCACGTAGTGAGTGTTGAAGAGTATCCACAAACCATCCTTGCCGATCATCGAATCATCATGCATTTGAAAGGATGTTTGGATGCAGCACCTTTAAACTGTCTTGGCAAATCAACAGAATCCAGACCATCATCTTGGCTGAGACCCGTATTTGAGGAAGAGAGAATGTTCTATCCATCAGACAATCACATTCACCTTTGGACTCTATCCAAACCATATGGCACGATTTCATACGTTTCATACCTTAATGCAGATAGAACAACCGCTTCAGTATCAGCATTTCCCACAGCTGCTGCCTCCTCCTCAGCTATTTGTCGCTTTCTTGTAAATCCCAAAAATACCGGATTCTGAAGGCAAACGTCTTTTCCTTACTGATCTCCACAATCGCAGTGTATACCTTTCCTTGTAATGCCAAAATTCATCAACCAAGGCTTCCTTGTGGAGGAAGAAGAATGTTTGTTACCGATACACCCAAACGGTTGAGGCTGGAAGGCCAAACCCTTAACTGAAGGCACATTGGAGGGACCTATGTGTTGTTCTTTAGTGAAAACATTACTTAAC